TGACAATGATCTCGACCAACTTCACACACACACACACGCACCACCAAATTTGAAAAATAACCAGACCTTCAGAATCTGCGAAGGAGTGTACCATGTTGTACTCCTGTGGGACGTTATCATCCCCTGAGAGACGTTAAAGCGTAAAAGGCATATAATGATATCACATTATAGTATTATTATTAATATTATTATATTATATATATATTATAGTCCTATATTATATTGTACTATATTGTTATAAAGAGGCCGAAATTCCGCTTGGTATAATATCTCATAGGAGCCAGCGGTCCGAAAGAGAACAACTTAGCAAGTTTTTGTCACCAAAGTCTGGAAACTCGGTGATCTCAAACAAGGATATTAGCCACTTCACTCATTCCTCACCATCCGACAGTCTCAGTGAGTCGCTTTCCTATACAATCCCACGCGACACAGGGAGACAAGGCTTACCAGAGTGGGTAAAATAGGCTAAGCCCTGCCGATGGAGGGCTTTCCAATGTCATTGTAAACACTACTGGATGGATTTGGGGATGAGCTTGTGACTGAAAACCGAAATTTCTTTCTCATGTTAGTAATTTAGTTTACTAAAGCGTTTGCTTTATAAATGTGAAAGGCGGGTAATTAAATGAAACGAACAGGAGAAAAGCAAAGATTTGTACATATTAAGAGAGATACCACAGTCGATTACTGGTAGGGGTGCGTGAAGATAAGAACTCACAGATGGTAACAAACACCATACAGAATACTTGAACTCCCGAGCCAAACAATGCGGTAAGTAGACGAATGTGGCGCGGTGGACGAAATACATCACCATGAACCAACTTCCAACCAGATTCCTCCAAGATATCTTCCTGGAATAGGGTTGGAAACAACAGAAGAACCAGATACTGATGAGAAATTCTCACTCATGACGTCTTGAATGAAGAACACAGTGCTCTTCCTTCTTGTGTGAAAAGTCTATGTGTGGCCAACTGATCTGTCCTCAAGGCTGAGTATCTCAGGGGCACACAAGGCAGGTCTCGAAAACTCACCATGTGTCTAAATACTGTCCAAAACGGGCGCGAGAGTTTGCCGAGGCGTGAGATTCCACACAAAAGTCTATCAATTAACACATCGACATTGACCCAGTCTATCAACCATTACGAGCAAAAGAACTACACAGTCACGGGACTGGCCTAACGACAACCAACGGGCTGATGTGACCAAAGCAAAACTCCTAAAAACAGAAGACCACTGAATCAACTAACCAAGGGAACATGTTCAGACCACAAAGCAAGAAGGAAACGACCGAATCACAACAGAATAATCACATACAGAACTGTCGAGTTGAGTGCGCCCAACGAACCAACCAGATACAAGAGATTGAGACCAACTCAGATTAACAGGGGACCAATCAAACTACCCGAGGACCGCCTTCAGAGCTACCAGATGCTGCTTAGAAGTCTTATAAGCGCAGGCAGAACAGGAGGAGTTCACCCACTCAACCCTGAGCTGACGATGTCATCTCGATTGGTGATGAAACGTTTACAATCCAACTCTTAGTTCGACGAACAGAACAAGCAATTGTTCTTCTCCAACCAGCTAAAAAACCAGCCTTCTTATGACCCGTACTTACTTAGTGTTCATCTTGGATATTTTGTTATAATTAATCGCGGCTAATATCAGTCAGATAGGGAACACTGCGACAGGCTTCAGCTCCTTGTTGAGCGACAAGAATATCTTGCATGCCACGTTCTGCATTAAGGAACTCTGGCGACGGTTCGACAAAAACGGTGGTTCCCGACCTGAGGGCGGCGAAATGCCTATCGATGTCATGGCTCCCCCTTACAATCACCTCTATGGGGGAACGGCCACCACGATACAAAAACATTTTCACAGAAAGAGCACCCAATAGGTTTGATTGGACGTTTGGATTTGAGAGAGCGAGGAAACGTTCGTGAAGTGCTACCCACCCGTACCAGTAGGAACTCTGAAGTGTCACTCGATGCTAGCCTGGTTGAGTGGGTCTACACATATATCACGCCGAGCCACGACAGCCATTAAAAATAAAAATTCCCAAACGGGCGTTGAGTATGCCTGAACAAATTGGGAGCAAAAGTGAGGAGGAGATTTCAAGAGTACGGATAAACACCGTCAAATGTAAAGTTTAAACTATGGTTTCAGAGGAATTTGGGGTTTGCTTCTAAGGGTAGGCCGCGCACAGCAAGTGGTAACGGAAGTACTCATAATAAGCGCGTTAGATGTGTCGACGGCCAAAAGTTCATGAGATTTTACGGTTGTATATCAGATCTATAAGGTAGGAGCAGAAGACAGTGAGTTGAAGCAAGGGGGGATATGATCGAGAGGAATTAGATATGATCTGGGTTACAAAATATATGAACCACATATGAACCATACCATATTTACGAGGCACCATAAGGTGACGAAGCACAAGTGACACCACTAGTATCGTTACGACCGGGATCAAGCTGACCCCCCTGTGGGGGTCACTATGAGCTCTTTTTTAAAAATAGGTACCAATATCAACTCTTTCCAGTTGTCTGAGACAGTCTCCTTTCCCAAAATACAGGCTAACAGATCAGAGAAGCGCTGACTAGGGACTTCGCCCCCTCTTTGAGTAATGCGGGTGGGAAATCATCCGACCCAGAAGCTCAATGGCGCTTGAGAGAACATATGCAGTCATAAACCTCCGAGGCCGTAGATATTTTCACGTTCACCGTCCAGGGTCACCATCATCGACAGCATGACATCAGTGTTCAACACCGATGCTTCACTGCTGTACAACTTAGTTCGACGAACAGAACAAGCAATTGTTCTTCTCCAACCAGCTAAAAAACCAGCCTTCTTATGACCCGTACTTACTTAGTGTTCATCTTGGATATTTTGTTATAATTAATCGCGGCTAATATCAGTCAGATAGGGAACACTGCGACAGGCTTCAGCTCCTTGTTGAGCGACAAGAATATCTTGCATGCCACGTTCTGCATTAAGGAACTCTGGCGACGGTTCGACAAAAACGGTGGTTCCCGACCTGAGGGCGGCGAAATGCCTATCGATGTCATGGCTCCCCCTTACAATCACCTCTATGGGGGAACGGCCACCACGATACAAAAACATTTTCACAGAAAGAGCACCCAATAGGTTTGATTGGACGTTTGGATTTGAGAGAGCGAGGAAACGTTCGTGAAGTGCTACCCACCCGTACCAGTAGGAACTCTGAAGTGTCACTCGATGCTAGCCTGGTTGAGTGGGTCTACACATATATCACGCCGAGCCACGACAGCCATTAAAAATAAAAATTCCCAAACGGGCGTTGAGTATGCCTAAACAAATTGGGAGCAAAAGTGAGGAGGAGATTTCAAGAGTACGGATAAACACCGTCAAATGTAAAGTTTAAACTATGGTTTCAGAGGAATTTGGGGTTTGCTTCTAAGGGTAGGCCGCGCACAGCAAGTGGTAACGGAAGTACTCATAATAAGCGCGTTAGATGTGTCGACGGCCAAAAGTTCATGAGATTTTACGGTTGTATATCAGATCTATAAGGTAGGAGCAGAAGACAGTGAGTTGAAGCAAGGGGGGATATGATCGAGAGGAATTAGATATGATCTGGGTTACAAAATATATGAACCACATATGAACCATACCATATTTACGAGGCACCATAAGGTGACGAAGCACAAGTGACACCACTAGTATCGTTACGACCGGGATCAAGCTGACCCCCCTGTGGGGGTCACTATGAGCTCTTTTTTAAAAATAGGTACCAATATCAACTCTTTCCAGTTGTCTGAGACAGTCTCCTTTCCCAAAATACAGGCTAACAGATCAGAGAAGCGCTGACTAGGGACTTCGCCCCCTCTTTGAGTAATGCGGGTGGGAAATCATCCGACCCAGAAGCTCAATGGCGCTTGAGAGAACATATGCAGTCATAATCATCGACAACATCAGTGTTCAACACCGATGCTTCACTGCTGTACAACCATGACGTATTTGAAAGCCTTATTGTAAAGAAAAGAGTAAAGTAAAGCGGGGGAAGGACTTAGTGCTAGCTCAACACAACCATTCCGAGGTGCCTACACCTCGAGACATTCACTCAGGCAATCTGGACAGAAACTGACAACAAGAACGCCATTGACATCGCTTGGCAGCCATATCTTGTAGTGTCAACAACCAGGCACAGTAAGGATCACGCGGTCCCCATCCTGGAACGCGAGTAGCGCCGACAGCACCCAAGCGTCTCGTGATCTCCTTCATACTCCTCTGCCAAGTCAAGGATCGGCCACTTCTCTGTTTACGTCACTCTGAGTTGGGCATGGAAAACAGCACTCTCTTCGGCAAACGATGGTTCGGCAAACGTAACACATGTCCCAACCAACGCAGCTTCTGGTGCTGGAAACATGCTTCAATGGAAGTACCCGTTACACAATCGAAAACACGCTTTCTAACTGCCTCGTTACGGATTCGCCGACACCAACCCACGCGAGCTATGGTTCTGAGACAACGATTGTCGAACACCTGAAGACGTCTCAGGTCCGCTGCTCGAGTAGGCCAAGTCTCACAGCCATACAACAAAACAGCCCGTACTGTAGCTCGATACACAAGTCCCTTCAGATTCAGGGATAAACCATTCTGACGCCATAGGTGTCTCAATTTACCAAACGCGGCCCGAGCCTTGCAGATTCGTGCATTCACCTCACCTTTCACACTACAGTCAGAACTAATACAACTTCCAAGGTACGTAAAACGCTCCACAACTTCCAGTGCCTCTCCCTGGATTGTAAGTGGCGTGTTCAGTGACTGCACGTCCACAAGCATGACCTTACACTTTGTGGGTGCAAAGTGCATACCAAAGGACGGGATGACTTTGGTCAGTTCATCCAAGAATACTTGCGCCTTCTCCTCCTCTTCGAACATGAGAACGATGTCGTCTGCATATTCCAGATCGACAAGGTTTTCTTCAC